TAGATAGAAGGATAGATAGATGAAAAGAATGGATGGATGGATGGATAAATAGATAGAAGGATAGATAGATGGAAAGAATGGATGGATGGATGGATGGATGGATGGATGAACAGATGGAAGGACAGGTAGATGTATGTATGTATGGAAGGAAGGATAGATGGATAGACAGATGAACAGATGCAGGATAGATGAGAAGGTAGGTAGAAGCTGGGCTCATAAACAGATGGGTAGATGGATGGACAGTGAGGTGAGTGGGTGGATGAATGGGTAAATGGATTGTAGGACGGGTGAAAGAGTAGGTAGAGATGTGGGTTCATGAATGGATGGGTAAATGGATAGATGGCAGTCACTTATCAAAATGGGCTTAGCATAATATTCAAGAACATAAGCTTCAGAACAAAATTATCTGGTTTAAATCCCCTGCTAAGCCTATTATCATCTGTTCTCGAAGAAGTTAACCAAATCTCATTGAGCCTCAGATGACTCATAGAGCAAGGCAGAAGTGACAACACCTATCTCGCAGGGAAGTCGTGGGAATTTGGCAAACATGTATTTTTCTATTCCACAGTAAAGGTCACTTGATCTTGTATAGCCTCTTGTGACCACAAATTGTGGTGGTGTCTACAGACAGAATGTTTCCCCGCCCTTCAGAATATGATTCCTTAGGATAGTCAACTCCTACCTGGGAAGAAGTGAGTGCACCTACTTAGATCAGTCCTTCCCCATGTGGAAGGTGGCTGCATGGTTGGGCTGCCCGAGAAGCTGGGGTGGGTCAGCAAGAGTACAGGGTCTAGATAGCAATTAGGGGCTGCACTTGGGGTAAAGGAAGCTCAGTTTTGTTTCCTCCAAGTTACTGGCAGTTTTAATCACAGACTCACAAGTTGCTTTATGTGGGACATAGCGGCCACTGCATCCATAAAGTCACTGGGTGACTTGACAACCATTTCCACTTAACCCCAAACTAATAATGAGAGTATTAATAGCATCATCTCTAATAGCCTGGTGTGTGGAGGGAACATTTGGTTCTGACTTTATCCGTATGATCCTGGGCAAGTCACCCATCTCTCTGAGCCTTGGTGTTCCCATCTGTAAAACAGATTAATAATTATGACAATGTTAAATGCCTGCAGGGTTGTTGGGAGAGCTCAAAGGACTGTGATATAGAAAAGTATCTTAAATACCACAAGGCACTGCACGGAGATGGGGGATGGCTCTGATGTATCTGAAACTGCAGTTGGCAAAGTGCTTTTACATAATACATTATTTCACCCAAACTTTAAGACAAACAGAAAGCTTTGTTCAGGTTCAGCATGACAACTGCTTTTTTTGAAAGACCAAAACGCCTGCAAGGAACTCAAAGGAAAGCTGGCTCCCAGATATCCCACCACATGTTGATCTCCATCATCTCCCAGGACTCCAGCTCCTTCTTTACACCCCTCTGTAGATTTTCTGACCCTTTCTTCCTCTTCTCAGGACCATCTCAAACAGAACCTGAATGCTAATTTGTTCTGTTGATAACAAAAGCCCAAGTCATTTAGGACTTCATCTTGCCTATGGTTGCAACATTCCCTGTCTAGGAAATCCTTTCTTCTTCTTACATTCCCTGAACTTCCACTGCATCCTAACTCCTCACCACTGCTGAAAACAGAGAATTAGTCCCCCCGGTCCTGGCAGCTCTCCCTCCTGGTCCACCCCTCACCCTACCTGCAGAGACCATGTACATTACCTGAAGCTCAGTCCTTTCAAACAGAAGCAATCGTTAATTCCCTTCCCTTGTACTGGCACATATGAACAAACGCATGAATTGTTCTACATCAGGAGTTTGTACGTTAAAACAAATAAATTAAATTTAAAAAAGATATATTAGAAAATCTTAGGCGTACCCTCCCAAGAGCCTCTTTTTTTCGCAAATAAGCAATGGGACGTTGAACTATTCCCTAGAGTTCAACCAACTCAGTAATTAACATTTGCTCTCTCTGAGGGATCCCAGCTAATGTGAGACACTGTTCTACTGCAGATGGGGGCAGGAACATTCTGATGTAATTATTACGGGTGCCAAGATGCCACCTGTATGACTGTCTCATCAGTATTAATAATGTGAACAACTACTTTGATTGGAACATGCTAATTTATTTCCAGGAATTGTGTTAATCACTTTAAGGTATGAGATTCATCTTTGACATCCTTTGAACTGGACATCCTTCTCACCACATGACAGGTGAAGAAACTGAGGCTCAGAGAAGGTAGGTAACTTTCCTTCCATCACAAGGTCAGTAGCTAGTTAACCAAGATTTGAATTCAAGTTCATCTGACTCTGTGGACTGAGTTCCTTCTCACCAGTGGGAAGCCATCAGAACAGGGTAGGGCCCAGCCAAGCACTAACTGTGTAGGCCAGAAACAAGAAGGACGAGGCATTGAAGAAGGAACCGGCCTCATGGAAGTCATTCAGTTAATGACTTTTTAATGATCATTAATATACAAGACACCCGTGAGC